GTAAAATTACTTTTTCCGTAAAAATGATGAAATTGACGAATATCTTTATCAAAAAGTTTTATAATATTTTCTTTATTAGAATATAATTGAACATTCTTTTTGATAAGAGCAATTGTTTCAGGTTTATCCAGATATTTATTTTCTAAATTTTCTGATGATATAGCTAACTCTTTTATTGTTTGATCAATATTTGTATAATCTAAAAATCTTCCATCTTGATCAATTTTAAAGGATATAGAAACATCATTAGCCAAGAAAAAGGATTTTTAATAAATGATTTAGAGTCTGATTTCACATCCCTATAAATCCATTTTATTATAGTTTCATTTTGGTAAATATTTTCTACTTCAACGAATATTGTGTAAGTATATTTTTCTTCATTACTTACAGTATCTCCTTCTATTTTAGTTTCTTTAGCTGATATATTGTATTTCTTTTTATCATTTACGTTCCAGTATACTTTAGGAAATACAATACTATCTTTATTTTTGTTTACAAAAATAGAATCATTGATTTTTGTCTCACTTATACTATCAATAATAGGCGTTTGAGCATATAATTTAATTGAAAAAAAAACAAAAATTATGTAATATGTAAATTTAAATTTCATCTATTATAAGTATCAAATTAAGTCAAAAATAAAGTAAATTATACCAAATGTAGTCCTAATTTAAAGAAAAAGATAGATTTTAATCATTTAATAATTCTATTGTTAATTGATTTACTGTTTTTTTAGATCCTATATTAAGGCTAAATAAATAATTAGATTTTAATAAAATTGAATTAAAATCATAAGTATTTTCATATTTTACCTTTAGTTCAATAGTTTCAGAGTATTTTTTAATTTCACTCTTAACCTGATCTTGAGAAAGGTTCAGTTTAGCATCATGTAACATATAGTAAGCCATTTCTTCCCATAGTTTTTCAAAATCTTCTTTACTTAAATTTTGATCAGAAATAACAGTATATGTTTCATTATTTGTATCAATATCCTTTAAATAAGTGTTTGTTGTAGAAGATATAGGGAAACCAAAAATATTATCTTGCACAGATTTTCCTTCATAGTTTTCTCCTAATCTAAAATATTGACCATTAAAGAAGTTAAAAACTTGAATTTCTTGTTCGAAAATATAAGGAACATAGGTTTTTGATTGTACCATTTCCTCTATATGTTTTATATTAGCTTTATAATCCTCAGACTTTTTTTTCTGCTTAGCTAATTTATCTGTAATTTTTAATTACACTGAACTTTTCCACATCAGAAAGTGTCTTCATACTTCTAAAATTCTCCAGAGGATTGGTTCGTGAATAAATATTTTCATTACCTTTCGAAATTATTGATAAATCACGGTTAAATTCACATCAGGGATCATTTGAAATATTTTTCCATTAATTAAATTCAAATTTATTCGCAAATTATTTTCTATCAATTAAACTGAATTGAATTCTATAAGAGTTACTTGACACTTTAATTTACTGTGTCATTTACTGATATAGAAAAATTTTGATCCGTAAAAGAGTAGTTATATATTTTATCTAATTTTAGATTAGGTTTTACCTGTACAGATTTTTCTTCAAAATTAACTTGTGCAAATGTAGAAGAAGAATACAATAGTAGTAGGGCAAATAGGTTTATTTTCATTTTTTCTAAATCTATTACAAATATAGAATGATTATTCAATATTTGAATTATTTATTGTACGAATCATTGTGTCTATTGGTTTTGTCTCAGAAATTTCTTTTTCCATTAAACTTCCACCAATTTCTTTTAATTTTTTAACCTGAGGTATAAAGCGGTTTTCAAGAGATCCAATCGCTTTATTGTAACTTTGTGTTGCTTGATTAAGATTATGACCTACAGATGAAAAATGTTGAATTAAAACATTTACTCGGTTATATAATTCTATTCCTGCATCTCTCATTTGGTAAATATTTTCAGCAACATTCAATTGTTGCCAACTAAAAGCAATTGTTCTTAGCATCGTAATTAAAGTTGTTGGAGTAGCAATAATTATTCTATTATTTAAAGCATCTTCAATCAAAGTTCTATCAAGCTCTAAAGCTGCTCCAAATGAACTTTCAATTTGTAGATACATTACAACATAGTCTGGTGCATCCTTGTATTGATTCCAATATGCTTTAGAACTTAAATTTTTTAAGTGCTCTCTTACTGCTTTTGCATGCATTTTTAAATGATGTTTTCTAATATCTTCATCTTCGGTTTCAAAGGCAAGCATATATTGGTTTAATGGAACTTTGGAATCAACAATTACCTTTCTATTTCCAGGAAGATTTACAATTAAGTCCGGACGAAGTAAACCATTATCTGACTGTACAGAACTTTGTTCTTCAAAATCACAAAAAGATGACATTCCAGAAAATTCTACAACTCTTCGTAAACCAATCTCTCCATATTTACCTCTTGTATGAGAGGTTTTTAGAGCAGAAACTAAAGTGTTCGTTTCTTTTTGTAATTTTTCTGTTGTTCCTTTCATAGCATCTAAAAAAACTTTAATTTCTGAGTATGCACCTTCTCTTATTTTCTCTATTTCAGATTATTTTTCAATCAAATTTATTTAAAATTTCATCAAAGGTTTTTTAGAGAAAATCGATCGTTTTGGCGATTTATCTAAAATCATTTTTAGAATCAGAAAAATTGTTTATCTATGTCGTTTTTTGGCTAAATCGAGAAAATTGTTCATTATTACTTTTTAAAACTTGGGCTGATAATGCTTCGAATTGTTCTTTCAATCTTTCATTAGTTTCAAGCATAAATGATTTTTGCTCATTCATTGCTTTTATTGTTTCTTGATGACGAACACTTAATTCAGTATTTTTTTCACGTTCTTTTTGCCATTGGTCAAGATTGAAATTGGCATCATCTTTCACTTCCAAATATTCATTTTTTAGTATATCGTACTGTTTTTGTAATTCTTGATATTTTATTTCATTACCAATAATCGTTGAATTAGCTTTTGATTTTGAATACAAAAAACTAATTATTGCTCCGATAATAAAAAACAA